ATATGTGAATATATGTTGTATATATGTGAATATATGTGAATATATATGAATATATGTTGAATATATGTGAATAAATGTTGTATATATGTGAATATATGTTGAATATATGTGAATATATGTTGAATATATGTTGTATATATGTTGAATGTTGTATATATGTGAATATATGTTGTATATATGTGAATATATGTTGAATATATGTTGTATATATGTGAATATATGTTGTATATATGTGAATATATGTGAATATCAATCAACCTTTATTTCTACAGGTAAATCCCATTGAGCCTCGAGGACTCATTTACAAGAGAGACCTGATTTAACAAAGAAAGATGACAACAATGGACAACAGCAACAACAATAAACAGTTATAAAAACTCATACTACAGTTTTTTTTTGTTTGTTTTTTAACAAATAGGATGGCTAAAAGGAAAAAGGTAACAAAAACAAAAAAACAGCTAGATTCCAAGACAAATGTATAAAACTAAAAACAGGAACATGTCTGCATTGGTCGCTGCCAGGAGTCCAACAGATTCTATGTTCTATTCTATATTCTATGTTGTTCATATGTGAAACGTATGAAAAATCCCAAAGCCTGAAAATATTTTTCTCTTCTGAACGTCGTGCTCCAGAACTGAGGATTTCAAACTTCATGTTCCTTTGATCCGTTTTGTTCCTTTGTCTTGTCACTGTGCTCCTTTGTTGTTCTGTACCGTGAACTTTACCTTCAATAATGCACAGAACATATACCAGTTTTTTCTTATTCTGAATATTAACAGTTTGTGTTTTCTTGTTAAGTTTTGATTATTGTTCTGAATTGTGTTTGAACTTTGTCTTGTGAACTGTTGTAAATATTTTTTTATTTAAAAATAAAAAGAGACGGCCAAGTGACCGGGAGGACATGACGTCATCTTCCTCGCCTCTGACCCTCGGATCTACTCGATTCACGTTAACGACATATTTTAATTTGATATCAGCGAATTTGGCTGAAACGCGACCAGGTCGTGCACATAGATATCTATGGTCGTGCACGTGGAGCTTGGGTCCGTTTCAAGCCGTCTTTTCCGGCACAGCTGCAGCGCTGTGCGCATGCGCGCCGCTCACCTTGTAATTGAAGTGCTGCTGCTCTACCTGCGAGCTGACCCGGTTCTTGTGGTCCAGGAAACTGGACCGGTCGCAGACCAGCAGGGTCCGGGGAGTCCGGCTCAGGTCCGCACACATCTTCACTAAACCGGAACCAAATCTTCTGGTTCCAGGTTTACTCACGTGCCGCTACCGCCCCCAACTGGACCGGAGCCGAACGTGTTGCAGAAGATGTTCTAGGTCCGTGCAAGATGGCGGCAGGAGCAGTCCAACTTTAATTAACATTTTAAAAATTAATTAATAATTTAACTTAAAAATAAATTTGTACACATCCTTTATGATTGTTGTTGTTGTTGTTGTTTCATTCAACCTTTATTTCTACAGGTAAATCCCATTGAGCCTCGAGGACTCATTTACAAGAGAGACCTGATTTAACAAAGAAAGATGACAACAATGGACAACAGCAACAACAATAAACAGTTATAAAAAGTCATACTGCAGGGTTGTTGTTGTTTTTTTACAAATAGGATGGCTAAAAGGAAAAGGTAACAAACAAAAAACCAGCTAGATTCTAAGGCAAATGTTGTTGTCATTCTTTGTTTAAATCAGGTGTGTCTTGTAAATGAGTCCCCTAGGTTCAATGGGACTAACCTGCAGAAATAAAGGTTGAATGAAAAATGCCTGAGTGTGTTTTTCTGTAAAACGTTGTGTGTGAGACACCAAGCGCAGCACCCAGAACACCTTCAGGACTCAGTCCATCGAGCAACACGAGGGAAGTCTGCAGAACAGAAGGACACGTTGAAATGGATTAAAGACGAAAGAAGTGTTGAACACGTTCACTCGTCCCTAAAGACGGAGAAGAATGAAACACCAAGCTGAAAAGGCAAGAGGTGAAACAACTAAATGTAGATGAAGAGGCAGCTCTTAAAGAATTACAGGACACCATCATCAAATATAATCTGCTGCAGATTGAAGGGCTGAAGAATCTGGAGCTCTGCCAGAAAGAGGAGCAGACAAGCAGCACGTTCTGAAGGACGACAGCTTCAGGGCCACGCTAAGAGGAAAAAATTAAAAACCACTGAAAGTACGAGAATAAAGTTGTACAAGACTTTTTGCAGCTCTCGTTTTGTTTGTTGTTCCTCAAGTGGAATTCACGTCGTGACCTGTCAATCAATCCAGTAGGCGTACGGTAAAATGAAGAGTGTTGAGCGCTCTTGTGATAAACTGAAGGCATTGAAATTAATGTCTGCACTGACGGATGTGTATGGAGGCATATTTCACCAACACTCACCCAAAAGTGATGACAGACTATTTCATAAACGCAGCGACTCACAATGCAACCCTGGAGTTCTCAATCATTCGCTTCTGATTGGTCATTTGCTGACACACCTACTGGATTGATTGACAGGTCGTGTCTGGATCAGACTCGTGGAAAAAAAAAACAAGAGCTGCAAAAGTCTCATGTGACTTTATTCTCTATTATGGCTTTTGATTTTTTTTATTAGCGTGACGCTAAAGCTCTGTCGTTCTGAAGGATCAGTGCTCACTCCTGAAAACAAACGTGGAGGATCTCAAATTTAAAATAAATGAAGAAGACCACTACAGCTGGAGACAATCTCAGGTTCTACGGTGATCCAGAGAAAGATGATGACATCATTAACAGTGGTGTTGAAAAAATCTGCCGTAGAGCACTGGCACAAACAGAGGCTGCGGTGGGCATATCTGGGATAGACGTGGTCCACAGAGGAGGAGAGCACCAGGAATGGGAGCTCCAACACACACAGACCAGTGATCATAAGATTTACATCCAGAACCGCACGAGATACCGTATGGAAGAGAACCAAGAACTGCGACTACCGAAGAACAACGGGCTCCGCTTCAAGAAGGATCTGAAGGCAGCAGACAGAGAAACCCGCAACAAGTTGTGGCCAGCTGTAGAGCAGGCTCAGAGAAGACGAGAAAAGGCCTATTACGTGGGTCTTAGGGCCTACATTAATGGGTCCTATGTTACTAGAGCCTACATTAATGGGTCCTACATTAATGGGTCCTACGTTACTAGAGCCTACATTAATGGGTCCTACATTAATAGAGGCTACATTAATGGGTCCTACATTAATGGGTCCTACATTAATAGAGGCTACATTAATGGGTCCTATGTTACTAGAGCCTACATTAATGGGTCCTACATTACTAGAGCCTACATTAATGGGTCCTACATTAATGGGTCCTACATTAATGGGTCCTACATTAATAGAGGCTACATTAATGGGTCCTAC